TCCTGGCCCGAAAATCTGAAAAATGCTGAAATGGCCAACAATGCATTTTTACGAGTCCTGAACTCGAAGAAATGCCCCAATCAACTCCTGGGGCCCACCCGACACACCCCATAGTGTTCGAGACGCAAAACGAGGCGAGGAGATAATATATAATCCGAAAAATAAAAAAAATCCCCGAAAAATGAAAAATAGAAAAATGTGAAACTTTACATCAAGTAATTGAGAAAATGCTTGTTGTGGTGGTAGTTATTCGGTGGGTGAATATGGTTGCCAATATTCAACTCATTCCAACCAATTAAATATACGAGGAAACGGTTGATCATATTGTGGTCAATTGGTGGTGCATATGCAAGAATGATGAGGAAACGGTTGATTATCTTCTTTTGCATTGTCCAGTGGCTCGGGATTGTTGGATTTTGATGTTGGGCTTATTTGGGGTTCAGTGGGTTATGCCCAGATCTTCCAGAGACTTTGTTGAGGCTTGGAGACGTTGTATAGTGGGGGCCCAAGTTAATGATTTTTGGAGGGTTACACTTTTTGTGTCGGGTGGTGCTTACGGCTTGAAAGAAATAGGAGATTCTTTGAAGGAAAGGAGAATCCCATTGGGACGTTTAAGTTCTCCCTTAGAACTATGATACTCGTTCCTAACAAAATGGCCGAAACTTTGTACGAATGTAACGTGGCAAGCCACGTCATACCAGCTCCATTTTTATGCATGAAAAATCTGGAATCTCCATTACCTAATATATATATTTTTTTAAATTCAAGAATCTCTCTCTGAGATTGAATCTTAAATTTATTAGGATTTCCAATCAATTGTTCAGGCAATCCCTCAACTCCATTTCTAGGGTTTTAACCCCATTTTTAGGGTTTCTCGGTACCTTTTCTTTACGGATCTTCAGTAATATCATCACTCTGTATGCCATGTTATCCCCCATGGAACTAGTTGAAGTCCCTGATGAGAGCATAGCTAGATCAATAGACCTCATCTGCAGAAAAATATGTGACCACCCATAAAAAAAAAACATTCAACAGACTTATACGAGCAGAAATTAATTTTGTTTCACCCAATTATGGAACAATTCTCTTCCTATTGCTATGGGTAGTTCAAAATATTTCCACCTCCTCAATCCCTTCTAGAGGTGGGTAACAAAAACAGAGGAAAGGGGAAGTGAGATAGAGAAGATATATATAGGTGTGTGTGTGTGTGTGTGATGTGTGTGTATAGAGAGATAGAGATGCGGGTGGGTAGGGAAGAGAGATATAGAGATATGGATGTATCGATAGAAAGAGAGGGTAATTGGGTAATACAACTTCTAAAGTTTTGAGGGGAAGAACTTACCAAGGAAAAAAGCAGCTTTTAAGTTGATTGCGTGGCATTGCCACATCAGAATCAGACAGAGTTTCAGCCGTTTGAGTCGGAACGAGTATCATTACTCCCTCCCTTACTAGTACTCTTTTTTGTTGTGTTCTAGGGAGAAATTGTAAATCCTTGGAGGAGCTTATAGATTTTTTTTTGAGTTTTCGAGGGTTTAGAGGCCTTATTTGACCTTGTGTAGCTTTTGAGGGTTGTGTTCCCCTTTTGAATGCTTTTTATATAATCTTTACATATAAAAAAATTAAAAAAAATTTAACCCGTTTTTCTCCAGATAAATAAAATAGTTCCTCAAATCCACTAAATCCCAGGTTTTTATGTTAAATTAAACATATTGGGTGTGGGCATAGTTCTTAATCGCCGTGTAACGGAATTGGGCTTCCATTCGCGTAACGTAACGGAATCGATTATCGTAGTCGTGAATTTTTTTCAATCTTGCACATAGGGTCCAAAATGAGCCGATACACATCTTTACAACATAATTTGATAAATATGAATTTTAACGATTTTTATTAAATTTTGGAAGACCATTTAACACAAGTAATAACCTATTCATGAATTCTAAGTCATTGTCATTATTAAAAATGTTTAGTAATTTTGTTTTTTACGAAATTAATGAATAATAATATATTTAAGTGTGAATTAGATAAAAATTCATACCATATATAATAATATGTGAGGGTTAAAAAATAGAAGAAAAATAAAATTAAAATATATAAGAAAATATAATGCAATTCAAAATACTAACAAAATTATAAGTACAATACATGTAATATTTATATCACAAAAAAAGTTACCACTGAAGAGTGAAAATTTTTAAAAAAATAGAGTATAATTTTTTTCTAAAAGTAGGATAGTTTCCAGAAGTATTATATTAATTGAGTATATATTATTTTATATTATGTTATATTTAAGCATTGTAAGGCTTATGCCAGTGTTATCAAAGGCTCAAGGTGCACCAAGACACTATTAAATTACTATTAAGGCATAATTATATTCCCTTTAAAGGCTCAAATGTTGTCAAAAGCGCGTTTGGGCACACAACATGCGCAAGTGTTTGTATGAGTTTGGAGCCTAGGCGCTTGCCTAGGCACACCTTTAACAGCACTGGCTTTTGCATAAAGCAAACAAATTCTATGTTAAATAAATATGAAAGTTGATGAAGGATTTAAATATTAAAGTTACACCCTCTCTATCTACTTAAGGTTTTAGAGTACATGGTTGTTTACATGGTATCAGAGCCACACAATGTGCTCTGATCAAAACTCACCATCACCTTGATGGTTAAAATTGAACCACGTGTTGGACTAAAAGAAGGCCACACACGTGAGGGGCATGTTGAAGGATTTAAATATTAAAATTACACCCTCTGTAGCAACTTAACCTCTTATAGTAGATTATTGTTAACAAAAACTATGCATAAAGTAATGGAAGCAACAAGTGGCTTGGTGGTAGGAGCTATGGTTCTCATTCAAGAAGTCCACGGTTCAAGCCTCTACGACTCCACCACTTTAATATTTTGAGCTTGTTAATGAATGAGATGGCATCAAGTTTAGGCCGAGTACAAACCAACCTGAAGGAGATGATTCAGATAGAAATGGACTGAATTGTACATGTTAGCTTTGAATCGGCCTATTCGCAGGTTCTAAATTTTCCACTTATAAAGCAGTGGGACTTGACACTTGCAGAGCTCATTGCAAACTGAATCGAACGGTTCGGCGAACCATGGGTGCGGGTTTGTGGCTTTAGTATTATTGGAGCTCCCTAAACTCTCAGATTTTGCCATACTCTCAGTATTTGGCACATTCCTCAATGTTTAAATTCATTTCTTTTAGTTTTTGATTAGTAAATTCATTTTATTTAATATTGTAATGTATGATATACTTGGTTGGAATTTTAATTAAATGGGATGCGGTTAAAATGGGGTTTCATCAATCTCTTAATGCAGGAAAGTAGGAAACCTTCTTTGATTTCAAATTTCAGTTTTTTCTTTGTTTTTCATCATCACATGTAGAGGGTCACCGTGAGGTCTGTCTCGAGACTTCCCTCTGCAAGACCCTACTGTGGGAGGACTAGGACGGGGTAATGTCCCTTTTACATTTAGAGTGCCCATATTTGACTTGGGTTCATGTGTCTCACCTATTGCCGTGTGATTATGATATTGTGGGGAGAGTATTAATTCTTCTAGTAGTGCTGCATATATTTTTCTCATACTAGATTAAATAATTGCTTGAAAAACTGACTTGGTTGCATATCAGAAAATGGTGAAAAAAGGAAGCAGAAGATGAGAATAAGAAGATGCTCTTTGGATCAATTTAGATTCACTTGTTTTCTTTTTCTTGATGCATGCCAATAAAATCCTAAAATACAGTTCATTTTGTTAGGCCCAGTGTTGTTAAAGGCGTGCCTAGGCTCGAGGCTCAGGTTTAGCGCCTGTTGTCATCCCAGGCTCACTGATGTTTACTAGGCACGTACCTCGGTTGCGCCTCGTCTTGTTTGTGAAGCGCACTCACTGATAGTTGTTTAAAAAAATACGAATGTTCTATTTCTTAAGCCAAAAAGGGTACTTTTGGCAACTTAATAAACAAAAAAGAATGCCCAAGCGTACGATAGAAGGAACTTTTGTACAAAAGAATAAAAAAATAAGAAAGCCTTAGAGTCAAAGTGTTAACCGAACAACGATAGAATGAGATTGTGAGATGAAGACAAAGCCCTAGTTGCAAAGATGAACAACGAAGTCACACTAGTTCTTCTTCTTCTTCTTCTTCTTTTTATTTTTTTATGTTTTTATTTATTTATTTTTTCTCCTCTAGATCTCCCCTCTTCTTATCTTTGTTTACATCTCTCTCTTCGTATAATTCTCCTCTGTCTTTTTTTTTTTTTTTGGCTCTGTTTTTTCTTTTCTTTTTTTCTTGTTAACAATTTTTTTTTTTTTTTAGTTAACATATTTATTTCTTTTTGTGCTTTGTTTTGTCATTCAAAAAAACACATTTTTGCTTTGCCTTTCAAGAAAACAAATTTGTGCTCTGTATTATGGTTGTTGGATGCTTGTATGGTTGATGGATTTACTTTTTTATATTTGATATTAGTTTTTAGAATATTGATATGACTTATGAGATATAAATATTATTATGGTAGTTTAAATTTTCAATTGTGCGTCTCACTTCACACAGGCGCGTGCCTAGTGAAGCAATTAAGGCCATTGATGGCCTGAAGTGAGACCTCATTTTAGGCCCCACTTCACGCCATTTAGGTCCATGCTCTTATATCATTGTTGGCCATGTTTTACCATGTGTACAGTCATCTCGACAGCCTACGGCTGACACTGATATATGCCTCCAGTAATATATGAAAATCTCTAATCTGAATCTGCCCCTCTAAGTTACAAAATTTGTTAATGTATAACTTTGTCACATCTGAAATCTCTCTCCATAGCTATATGTCTATTTGGTGTTTCTGGTCCAAATGAGGAGGGATTAATTAGAGAAACTTTGGATTTTTAAGTTTCAAGCTGGGTAATTGCTTTACTACTTTTTGTTATATCCTGAAAGCCATAAATAAGTAATACAGGGGAAGAAAAAGAGAAGGCTAACTTGCATTACTATTTACTTTTTATTTCAACAAGATGTATCGGGAGTCAACAGGGACTGCACCACTAAATGTGGAAGGCTATGGAGATCCTGTGCAGAAGGCAGAAGCAATGGCATTTCGTCGGGCTTGTGCTCGTTTTGGTCTGGGGCTTCATCTCTATCACGAGGATATGTTGTAGTAAGACAATGGACTTGTGCAAAGCAGGCTCAGGTAGGAAGGTGATGCATGGATCCGAAGTCCTCAGCTCATTTCCTTTTTGTTGTTGGGGTAGGTCATATGAAGATGATATATTTTAATGGAAACAAAAAGACTTCAATGTAACTCTGATTGATGCATCAGTTACTGAATTTTTATGGCGGTAGAATGTTGGGGAATTGTTGGCCTAATTAGCTGTTCTGTTTGTTTCAGAAATCTTATTATTATTATTATTATTATTTTTACTCAGTTAGAAACGAGTAATTGCGGACCTGTTGCAGGATTCGATCGTCTTTAGCTCTGGAGAGACAGATTTACAGACTCATATTGCAGCAACAATAAATGAGCAGAGGCTGTTATGCATATCAATATGTGTACCAGAGACCTGATACTATCAATTTGTAGGGTTTCTTGGCACTTTTTCCTCAGATATTTAATCGTAGCATGAAAGTTAGTCCTCTTCTTTCTTTCTCAATTGGAAAAAATCAAAACCATTCCATTTTCGATGCCCATCTCGAAAAGCCATTAGTTTGATGTGGTCTTTCTTGTTTTTGTTGTCATGCTGGTGTAAAACCAAAGGGGAAACATGACACTTTTAAATGCTGTGTCTTTCCCTAGATGATGTGGTCCAAGATCTTGGTGAAAGCACCATCTTTAGATCTCGTCAAGCTTCATCCATAAAAAAACGTTCAGCAGAAATCAAATTTGTTTCACCCATTATGGGACAGAATCTCTCTATATTGCTATGGGCGTCTAAAATATTTATCACCAGCTCAATCCCTTCAAGAGGAAGCCATTAGCGTCGGTGGCAAAGCTGAGTAAAATATCTGAGACAAGGGTCTTTGGAGATGGATATAGATATAGAGATAGAGGGAGGAGTAATTTTGTTTATGCGAAATTTAGCTCACGTCTGATAGTTTGCGGGCCTCCTCGAATACATAGGGTAAGGTAAGGCTGGGTGAGAAAGGGTATTCAGCTCACGACTGATAGAGTTTGCGGGCCTCCTCGAATACATAGGGTAAGGTAGGGCTGGGTGAGAAAGGGTCCCTAGTACCAATTGTAAGTGGCCATTTGTCCATTTATTCAAAAGTTTAAATTGTTAGGTAATGTTGCATACTCACTCATTTTATATCAAATCATTTTCTCATCCGGATTCGATATGGGACAAATGACTCTTGTTACATTCCTCCTTACCAACGTTCTCGTTGCGACTTGGGCCACCCTATCTACTCGGGTTACAAATCCGGAAGCCCTCCGAGTTAGGTGCTTGGCGTGACACCAGATCAAGGTTTGACTCTAATACTAATTGTAACGAGTGGGTGTTTGCCCATTTACTCAAAAGCTCAAGCTGTTGGGTAATGCTGCATACCCACCCATTTATACCCAATCACTTTTCTATCCAGATCTGATGTGGGTCAAATGACCCTTGTTACACCATTCCACTTTGCCCGGCCTTCGACTCTCCTTACTTATAAAGGGTTTTACGACTGCGAGAACTACCTAACTAAAGAAAAAGAGTGCTCTTTCTAAGAGTATGCGTGGAGAACTTTTTGCAGGCAATTGTCTGGGAGAGAGAATAGTAAGAACTCCTAGTAAGGTTCTTGCAAATAAGGACTTTTGAGGTGTTAAAAGAAAAGTGCAATATAAAATGAAACAGCTTAATTGAAATTGCATGGAAAGAAAAGTGCAAAAAAAATTAAATTGCAAAAAATTAAATGACTAGAATTTAAATAATGCAGAAAAGAATTGACATTGAATTTAAATTGCCAGAAAACGAATTTGGAAAGGAAAGAATATTGCTGAAATTGAAGTATCAAAATAGAAAATGTCATTGGAATGAAAAAGTGCTAAAAAAGAAAGTTGCTAGAATTTAGAGAACTTGAATGGAAGTTGCCACTGGAATTAAAATACTTGAAAAAAAGTTAACATGATTGAGAATTGATAAATGACGTAGAGTCAACTGAATTGCATGTTTTTGGAGTGGTGCTGGACTATTTGGAAAGAATTACAACCCTCTTATTTATCGAAATCTTTCATCAACTAAATTCTCATCTTCTTCCTAAAACATCTCTTTCCTTGATTCTCTCCTTTTTAGTTACTGGATTTGATGTTGACTAGGTCTCTTTCTTGAAATGAACTTCCCCTCTCTAGTTACGATATATGGATTCTTCTCCCTCATGTTGGCCTTCCCTTTGAATTAATCAAGCCCAGATTTGTTACTTGTCTCAAACTTCTTCACAAACTTAGCAGCCTTACCCTTCAAATTTTTACAACCGTGCGTGTAGTCGCTATATTGTTCCATGCGCTTCCTTTTAATGACATATAATAAAATGCCACATTATTAACACTTGCTGCTCTCTGGTTGGTACACGTTATCGCTGATGTGGCTGCCAAGTTTTGGTGCCAACAAATGGCCCCCAAATTTCAAATGTGTTATCGGCCACCTAAGCCGATAATATTTTTTGGAATTTTAAAGTTTAATGCAAGGAAAATCTCCAAACCATTATTGAATTCATCGCTTGGAATAAGATGGCAAATCAATGAGTTTTAAAACCTTATTTCTTTCGGACAACCACTAAGTTAGTCTTTATTTTGCATCATCCACGACTGGCCGATCATGATACTTCCATTATTCTCACAAAGCTGGTTGATACCCTTCAAGGTATTAGCCATTTATAAACCCATGATAGACAACATCATTAAAGTTTTCCAACTCTACTAGTAAGGCATGATCGTAATCAGCCGGGATCGGGTTGTTATGCAATGTCATTTGGGCCGATCTAATTGGCTTCTCTGTTAAAAGAACAACATTCTACTAGTATGGTGCTTTTCTGGTGGCTGATCCTTTTGAATTTTTATACTTCTATGGTCCTTCTGAAAGTACCTTATCCCAAGTTTTTGAATCTTCATTTTCTTTAATGATTTTAGCTATATCAGCTGAAAATACCAAGAATAGTATTTCTTTTGTAGCCAATTTTTTCTCGACCGAGTAAGCTTTTAGAATGTAAGCGGCTATGATGTCCTGACTCCTCCATAATTCTTTAATTGGCACTTCAACAACTAGTCGAGGAAGCTTTATCATCGGCCGAAAAACCTTTCTGAATAACTTTTTAAAGTTAACATCAGTCAGACTTCTATTGATAATGGCCGATGCTAGTCGCCCCATTCTATTTATGCTTTTCAACCTGAACAGAACATGATTCTCATTGTTTAGTATTCCATTGGTCAAGTAAAAATTTGCATTAAATGGCAGATTTATTTTCTTCCACGAATTTCTTCTCAGCTTAAATCTTTTTTGTTGTCATTCCCGCTTTCTTTTCTTGAAATTAGGTTAAGGACGACGAGCTAAAATAATTCTTTCAGCCAACGACGATCTGGGTTGAGGATTAGCTGTCACTCTTGGCCAAACATTCTGGTAATCTGGCTAATTTGATCCTGATATTATTTTCCTTTGTTGAAAAATGTATCTCTCTTGAACACTTCTTTTAGAAGACCGAGTTTGGACTTTTATTTTATGAAAAAATTAACTTTACCTCGATTAATAATCTTCCATTGAGGGCAGCAACCATGTTAAATGAGAGCATATTAGGTTTCTCTCAATTGTTCTTTTAATTCTTCCACAGCCTTGGCATTTGGAGTGGCTGACGGTGTACTTTTAGTAACCTTAGGTTGATTCCCTTCATTAACCTTCTCTTTGGGATCTTAGTTGATCACATTACTACCTGCTATGAAAAGATCATTGATAAACCCCATAACTTCTGACAGCTTTTTAGAGAATTTCAAAATGTCATCGTTAATTGCCTTTTCCCAATATCAGCTACTCCTCTTTTGGTTGATATGGTAGATGGTTGAATGCCGTATGTGGCTGATTTTGGCTTGGTAATGTAAAATTGAGAGTGAAATATTTCTTCCATTTGCTGCCAATTGAAAATGGAATTTGGCGGCAGATGAATATACCACGAGAAGGCTGCCCTTGTCAAAGAGTTTGGGAAAAGCCTTATCTTTAACCAAGTGTTAGTACCAACCTCACCATATTGAACTGTGAAGCAGTTGATGTGCTCTACAGCTGATTGGTTTCCTTCACTACTAAAAGACACAAAGTTAGGGATATTGTATCTTCTATGTCTGGATAAGGCTTTTTGTACATTGGCCGGCCTATCCGCCTAAGGCCATGACCATATTCTTACTTGATATCAACCATCGTTGGTTGATTGGGCTGATAAATGACTGGTCGATCTTGATTTACCTTTAGTGGCTGATTTTTTGCTGGTGGCTGATTATAATTCAATCAATCTTTTGGCTGATTGGCCATTTGTTGCCTCTCGAGTCCAAACTGATATATAATAAACGGTTGATTTGCCATCGGTGGCTGATAATAATTTGACCAACCTTGTGGCTGATTAACCATCGGCTTGCCCCCTGAGTGTCGGAGGTTGTGGTATGGAAGCAATATGCTGATATTTTGGACATTCTTGCTACGATTGATTTACCACTTGAGGCTGATTTTCCACTGGTGGCTGATTATAATTCTGCTAATCTTGTAGCTGATGGGCCATATCTTGCCCCTCGATGCCCGGCTGTGGCGATACCTAAGTGTGAAGTGTATTTGGAGTTCTACACCTAACCTGGTTTCCCCCCCGAGTTAAAGGGTACCCGAGGAGGGTTTAGAGGAATTACTTGCGGCCGCTGATGTTTATTTGTCATTGGTGACTGATTGTACGTAGGTGGTTGAAGGATGGTTGTAGCAATTGGCTGCAATGAATTTTTTGCCCAAGTTGGCAGCAGATTCGTTAGGAGATTTGCTGTTATACTTGGTTAAAGTAAAACCACTAGCGGCCATGGCTGAGCATTCACTGCTGGCTGAACAACTTATGACAAAATCGGCTAAGTGACCGATTCTGAATTATTGGAACTCCAAGGCAGAGCCGGCCTATTCATAATGGCGGATGAAAACTGAGATATTGTTTCGTGCAGGTTGTTTTAACGTGTACTTATTCTTCCCATTGCCTCTAATAAAGACCACACCTGTGTTTTAACTATTGATACTTTTGATTGTATAGCTAGTTCATCCGTAGGGCCCAATGTAGAGCTACCAGCTTATGTTGGCTAAAGTTCCGCCTTTACTAAAGAATTGACCTATGCTTGAACTATTGATACTCCAGATCGTATAACTAGTTCATCCACAGGGCCCAGCATACGGCTACTAGCCTGGGTTGGCTGATGTTCTTCTTCAGGCTCATCATTGGTGGCAACGGACT